ACTTGCTGTTCAGATTTCAGATTTCCAACATCCACAATATTATGCTTTTGTTAGGAGTTAAGTATTTAACCTCAGTAAGTCACACTACAGAGACTGGAAAATAAGGGATGGGGGTTTCATAAAATTGTCAATGTTCGAAATCTAAGCCCCTTTAAATGTACCAGGACAACTCCAGAGTTGCTTCAGAGCAGATGACTTCATGTTCAAGAGCTTATTTCTTGTAATTTGTTCACTGGGTGATAGGTGAATTTGGTGATGAGTTTATTTACAAAGCAACAAAGAGTTAAGTTCTTACCGAAATGGTATTTGGATTCTGGACAGGAAGTAGATCCATAAGGGCAAGGTAGAAACTAGTTTGTGCTAAACTGTAAAAAACCTTTGTAAATCTCTGAAAATCTTTTGCTGCCTAATTCAGCATATGGATATTGGTCTATTAAACAACAATATAGTCTAAAATGTTATTGTAGAAAAGGTTTCTCACAAGGTGAAACATTTGGACTGGTACTTTTTTTTTAATCCAAGCAGCTATACAAGTTTAAATATAAGTTATAGGTTAGACGTACATACATCAAGGGAGAATAACAAACATAGAAAGTTCTTGGGGTTTGCGACAGGGTCCACTTGGAATATATAATTCACTAAGTTCTGAAACTCCCGTGACAAAAATATGATCCAGTATCCTCAATGGTGTAATAAATAAATGCGCTACTGTATTATCTCCTGTACTCCCAGTCAGTGCTAATTGCTGATTCCAACCAAGACGGCTTCATTTAACCTACATATACTGCATCATGAAGGGAATGGAAGTGGGGAGAATGTCCTGTCTGGGCAGTGACTCTGGCATAGTGAAATAGGTCATAACTCAATTCAGTTTAGAATTGTTAACCTGGCTTATCACTGTTAGCAGTTTCTGCACGTCCTACAACCACACACTCTGGACAGTAACTCTGCTCGCTAGCTCTGCACACCAACCACTGAAGTAATGGATTATTCCGACCCTACTTTATAAGCTGAAGAGAAAACTTTTCTCTTTGTTTTTAGCAAATACAGAACTGTAGCTGATGAGGGTTGCTGGCGTGTGGTACATGGCCAAAATATCACTCTGGCAGAAGCCCAACAGGATAGTTATCTGCTCTGTTCACCTGCCCCATTCCACTGACTGTAATCATAGTCTGCAAAAGAGTGGAAGTCTAGGATGAGCTCAAGTGTTTAGAGCAGCCACATAAGAAAGGTTGTGAAGTCTCCCTCCTGTGAGAGCACCCCAAAAGGCTTAATCTCCCAACGCAGTTACTGTAACCATTTTAAGGAGATTTCTCACTGGAATACAGCCCCCTAGTTTATAATATATCAAACACCTTTGCCAAAAACAAAGATATATGGTTGTGCCATCAATGCCTTTAAGAGTCTAGGGCTGGAATAAGATCACAAAGAGTTGCTGGCAACTAAACAGAACTTCAGTTTAAGTAGGAACACAGGCTTCTGCAGCTGCTCCTCAAATAGCTCTGACGCCAAATGCACTTACAGATGTCCCGGCATGAGCTTCACACATTATGTCTGCTCCCAGTGGAGCAGTTAGATCGTCCCATTTTGCAGAAACCTTGCAAACAATAAATAGAGATCATAATGCTCACTCAAAGTGTGAATGTTTGCTTGGTAAGATCTAGATGGTTATGGTATCCGTTAAGAATTCATGTCAAAGTCATTAGCGTGGTTTAGCAGAAAAACTGTGGCACTATAAAGCCACGAATATAACCCAATATACCCCACGAAACGGTCAATGCCTTCAGGATTTCCTTACCTTTATCATCTCCTCCGGGCCTACAATATTGTGAGATCTCAGCAGTCCTGTCTTTCTGGTCACCTAAGCAACCTAGGTGTCCAGGTCCAAAGCTCTGGAAGTCCCACTGTAAGCCCCTCTAACTCACTGTCCTCCTGTAAGGCTCCTCAAAGCCTACCTCTTAGGCCAAGCTTTTGATCTCCTGACTTAATGTGACATTTTATTTGACAAATCTTCACTGAAGGGCCATTGAATGTTTTGCAATGTTAAAAGTCACTACATGAATGAAAAGTCAGAAATTTTAAGCTAAAATGGCATGGGCAGAGGCATGAATTTAAAAACTGATACACTAATTGACTTGGCGATCTTGTGGCCTGTTTTCTGTCATAACAGTAGACGATAAAAAAGCACAGATTTAAAACAAAAGGCGGGGGAGAAGATAATGTACTCTTAAATTACAAACAACATTGCAGCTCAGCTGGCTGCTAACACACACCTTTGAGCCAAGACAGAAGAAGCTAGAAGGAAGAGCAGGGAAAGTGTGCTGTATTGTAACTGACTGTTGTATTTATCATCAGCAGTGGATGAGATGGTGTCAAACTACACTATTTAAATTGAAAACAGCAACAGCAGAGAACGTTGGCAAACCTTGCAAAGATTAAGCTTGGAACTAAAGAAGAAAGAAACAAATTTATGCCTAGCTGATCTGCATACACTGTTTGATCTTCCTGTAATCTGTTTTTCATAACATATTTGTGTTCTTTTGCATTTATTCTTTAAGAGCTTGCTGTAAAATAGAGCTCAGGCTAATGTTTATTTTAGTAAGTCTTTAAATTCGATACAAGCACCATTTGATCTGGCAAAACTTGCACACAATGTTTGAAGATCAAAAATGTCAGATCCTCTCGGATGCAGAGGGTTAGCACATGACAACACTCAAGTGATTCACTGGTAGGACACTGGTTGATACTCGCAGTTTTCCCGATGAGCTCTTGGCATTCCTCAATGCTCTTTATATTCCTGAGCTTCACTCAATAATCTCCCAAGAATTTACCAGCACAGGGCACAAACGTACTTGGAGCAATGCACCAGGCAAGAAAAGGATTGGCAAGGAGAGAGAATAGGCACATATATTTACATTTTATCAATACTTCTTATGAAAGATAATTGGCAGAGACTTGAAAATATCCTTTTCAGTTTTGCCATCAGATTTTCAATGGGATATGTGCCAATGGAGAGCAATTCTGGTAGTGGGACTTGATGGAGTTCATGGAGTAAAAAAGAAGTTAACCTGTAGTTTTCCCAATTTTAACAAAGTTTTCAGACCTTTGAGCGAAAGAGCTTGAAGAGAAAGTTCCAGGGGCGAAGGTTTTAAGGAAAGGTGCTCTGAGGAATAAGGTGAAGGACAAAATTTGGTGACAGAACATTTGATGGTCTTGGCCTCCCACTCTGGAGTTCTGGTCCCTAGGGTTAGGGGGGAGTTCAAAACTGGGGGCCATATTTTTAAGGTGAGAGGAGAAAGATTTAAAAGGGACCTGATAGACAACATTTTCACACAGAGGGTGGTTCGTACGTGGAATGAAGTGTCAGTGGTAGATGCAGGAACAGTTACAATGTTTAACAGACATTTGGACAGGTACAAGAATAAGAAAGGTTTAGAAAGATATGGGTCAAACACAGGCAAACAGGATTAATTTTATTTGGGAAACTTGGTTGACATGTACAAATTGGACCGAAGGGTCTGTTTCCATGCTGTATGACTCTATAACTTGTAAACTCCTGCTTAAGTCGCTGTTACCACATCCTTTAGTTTCCAAAAATCCATCTTTTTGTTCAAACTTTTGATCTCTTTCCTGCCATGACTTAGCATCCACTTCTCCGTCTATTTTCTATTGATGCCTTCAAGGCATTCTTTCCTTGCATGTTGGCCACCATATAAAAGCAAGTTATGTTTGGTCTTTGAGCTACTTGCGGTAACATATAGCATTGAAAATAAGGTGGTCAATTTTATGAACAAAAAAGATGGAAACAGGATTTGTGAAATTGTTTGACTCTGATTTTGATTTGGTTTTGTGTTAAAATTAGATGTACTGAAACTGTAAGAGCGATCGATACTTGTGAATGTATTTACTTATGCACAAGTTGTACATTTCTAAAGATTTAAAACCTAGGTGAGGATACTGGTGTGTTGCACGCACTAACATGCATAAGTGAAGTGACTGACTACCATCTCTGAACTGCACAGAACTGCTGTGTCGCTGAACGATTTCAGTCATTTTATCTGACCTCAGACAGCTTCATGCTGTGTTCAAAGATGTGGCAAGTGTTTCATTCCCACAAAGAAAAAAAAATCCTTTACTTAAAAAACAGTAAAATTGAGTGAAAAGTACTCTATTCTTAGACTCTGACATGGCTCAGTTTGGTAAGCACAATGTTAGGAGCGGGACAGACATCGAACTTCCTATCAAACAAAACTTTTGCCATCTGTGCTTCCTAATGGCCAAAGTTATAGGCCTGAGTATTGGGAAGAAATTTTCTACTTGTTTTGGAGATGTTTTAACTATCACACAGTTGCAGGTGAGCTTTTCAATAGCAGTCAAGTTTTTTAAGAATAATGCTCAAGGACAGAGGTGCATGCACATTGTATTTCAGCATTTTCTATTGAGAGAGGATTAACTAGCATGGAAATGAACTTCCAGCCAGCAAGTGCAAAACATGTTTCCAAAAGATTATCTGCTATCTCTGAGAATGGGATAACTGCGAGGAAACCATATGCTCGCCTTCCTGAATGAATCAGAAATCAGATGGTCTACTTAAGGGGAAATAGAGTTCTTTCTTTTCAGTTTTGATTAATTTCTGAGCAGCTGTTTCTTTGCTTTCCTCATTTAAAACAGTTCTTGTTAAATGTGTTTATGTACAGAGATAGCTGATAAATTCAACATGTTTCCGTCAATAGTACTGCTTTTATTTCACTCAACACAGGTCATTCAACACCCTGTAAAATTTACTGAGATCTCATTGCTTTTAGTGAACATAGTTGTACATTTCCTTCAGCTACAGAAGCAGAAAATATCCGTTCTTCTCCAATGCACCTTCAAAAATATAAAATTATTTCTGGTGGACTAGAAAGGAGAATTTAGACAGGAAAAATGTAACAATTAAGAAGCCTTTCATGTTAGCTGAATAGACAAAAAAAATCACATTTTACTTTTTTTCACTTTAGGTTTATTACATTAACTTCACGGATTTTGCAAGCCATGAGGTGCTGGTGGATGATAAGCCATTCTTACAGTGCACACGCAGCATTGAGAACCGCAAGTCAAAATTCAATACTTGCTACACTGCAGGAGTCTGCCTACTCAAGGCGAGGCAGAAGATCACAGTCAAGATGACATACGAAGATACGGTCGTTAACATGAGTCAACACACAACTTTCTTTGGAGCGGTGCGACTAAGCGACTCTCCATAGAATCGGGGTCTTTGGGACTGCAGAGTGCACAGGAAAAGAAAAATGATAAGAACGTACCCTGAAATAATTCATCCAAGGATGAAATTGGGAGTGCGGTGTTTGGGTGGAGGGATAAAGAGTTTAGGACCATAGGGAGCTTGGAGTGAAATTTCTTTTATTTACCAAATCAGATAGTTTCCCTTTTTCCTGACGCGTACTTGTGTGAACAAGCGTAACTTACTTTGAGTTGTATTTGGAAATCAGCAGGATGTGCACAAGTGTGTCACCCTTGTAGCAAACTCTGTCGTCTACTTCTCCTGATGAGTTTAACACTGCATTTCTAATCAGTTGGATTCCTCCAGTCCCTGTCTCCTCCAGAGGCTGGAGTAATGCAAATTATTCAACTGGCATTGATGTTGCAGCTTTTGTTTTTTGTTGCAATCACAATGGAAACTGGAGGGAGGGAAGAGAGGTATTCTTTATCTGGATAAGTAGAGAGAAACAATAATGTCTTGTCCTAATTTCAACCTCAGTATGTGGCCAGAAATATGGAAGAAACAGTTGAATACTGAAACTTAGAGGAAATCCATTAAAATGCTGCATGAATGAGGATGAGAACTGTTGGAGTGCAGTTGAGGTTTACCATGCAAGTTCTGCATTATGAAATACCCTCCTGCTTGCAGTTTTGCACCATCTCACATAAGCATTTTTTTCTTACAAGTACTTTAAATTTGAGGAGCGTTAATTCAAGAGTCTGATGAAGTGCACTGCACTGGTGAGAAAATGTTCAGCAAAGCTTTCCGTACAAATATGCAATTGTTGTAAAAATACATGAGGGCAGATTTTCAGCTTTCTATCTGGACTTGCAAATCAGGATGAACATCTGTGCAACAATACCAGTTTACTTTCTTTATTATTCATTCATTGGCTGTTAGCATCAGCACGGACCAGCATTTATTGCCCATCCCCAACTGCCCTGGAAAAGCAGCGGTGAGCTAAATTCTTAAGCCTCTGCAGTTGCTGGGGTGTAGAGATATCTAAGGTGCAATTAGGAAGGGAGTTCCAGGATTTTGGCTCAGCAACAGTGAGGGAACAGTAATATAGTTCTAAGTCAGGATGGTGTGTGACTTCAAAGTGAACTTGCAGGTAATGGTGTCCCCATGCTTACACTGTCCTTTTCCTTCAAGGTGGTAGAGGTTTTCAGAGATGATGCCTTGGTGTGTTATTGTAGAGCATCTTGTAGATGGTATACACTGCTGCCCACTGTGTGTCAGTGGTGAAGGGAGTGAATGTTCAAAGTGATGGATGGGGTGCCAGTCAACCAGGCTGCTAGTCCTGGTGACCAGCGTCTTGAGTATTGTTCAAGCTCCATCCATCCAGCACTCCTAAGCCTCACAGTTGTTAGTCAGGAGGTGAGCTACTCATTGGAATTCCTAGCATCTGAGTTATTCTTGTAGCCACTATGTTTATATAGCTGGTTAATGCCATTAAACATCAAATAGCAATGGTTAGATTCTCTCTCATTGGCAGTGATCATTAACTGGCACTTGTATGCCACAAATTTACTTGATTCATGAGTCCAAGTTATCAAGGTCCTACTGAATTTGGGCATGGATTGCTTCAGTACCTGAGGAGTCACAAATGGTGCTGAACATTGAGCAATCATCCATGAACATCCCCAATTCTGACCTTAGGATGAAGAGGAGTTTGTTGATGGAGCAGCTCAAGATGGTTGGGACTAGAACAGTACCCTGAGGAACTCCAGAAAAGATGTCCTGTAGCTGAGATGATTGACTCCAACCACCACAATCACCTTCCATTGTGTGTGGTATGACTCCAACCAGCAGAGATTTTTCCCCAGTTTCCCATTGACTCCAATTTTGCTAGAGTCCTCAGTGCCACACTCAGGTGAATGCTGCCTTGATGCCAAATGCAGTCGCTCTGAATTCCCTTCTGGAATTCAACTCTTTTGTCCATGTTTGAACCAAGGCTGAATGAAGTCAGGAGCTGAGTGGCCTGGTGGAACCCAAACTGGGCGTCACTGAACAGGTTTTTCTTTTGCAGGTGCTTCTTAAACAGGAATGGCGATGACACCTTCCATAATTTTACTCGGAAAACTGATAGGGTGATAATTGGCCTGCTTTTTTTGGCCAGGACATACCAGGACAATTTTCCACATTGTCGAGTAGATGTCAGTGTTTTAACTGTACTAGAACAGCTTGGCAATGCGCATGCTTAGTTCAGGGGCACAAACTTCAGTATTATTATCAGAATGTTGTCAGGGCCCCTAAACTTTGCAGGGTTCAATGCCTTCAGTTATTTCTTAATATTACGTTATATCGGTGGCTGAGGACTCACATCTGTGCATCTGGAGATCTCAAGATGGAGGCCAAGGCAGGTCATCCACTTCAGCACTTCATACAGTCATGGAGTCATACAGCAAGAGGACAGACCCTTCAATCCAACTCGTCCATGCTAACCAAATTTCCCAGACTAAACTTGTCCTACTTGCCTGCATTTGGCCCACATCCCTCTGAACCTTGAACAAAAACAGAAGTTGCTGGAAGCTCAGCAGATCTGGCAGCATCTGTGAAGAAAATATTAGAGTTAACATTTCGGGTTCGGTGTCCAATTCTGAGGAAGGGTCACCGGACCTGAAACGTTAACTCTGTTTTTTCCTTCACAGATACTGCCAGACCTGCTGGGCTTCCAGCAACTTGTGATTTTGTTCCTGATTTACAGCATCCATAGTTCTTTCAGATTTTGTTTCCCTTCAAACGTTTCCTATTCATGTACCTATCCAAATGTCTTTTAAATGTTGTAATTGTATTTGCATCTACCACTTTGTCTGGCAGTTCATTCCAGATATGAACCACCCTCTGTGTAAAAAAAAGTTGCCCCTCAGGTCCCTTTTAAATCATTATGCTCGGACCTTAAAATACGTCCTCTAGTTTTGAATTCCCCCACCCTAGGGAAAAGACCTTTGCTATTCACGTTATCTATGCACCTCATGATTTGATAAACCTCTCATTTCAGCCTTTCCCTTGGCGTGATATGCTCAGCTCCTTCACTTTGTGCACAGAGATATTTGTGGTGGGTTCTCTCCAGTGAGTTCTTTAATTGTCCATCACCATTCACGACTGGATGTGACAGGACTGCAGAATTTAGATCTGATCATTTGGTTGTGGGATCACATAGCTCTATCTATCACTTGCTGCTTATGCTGTTTGGAACACAAGTGTTTTAGCCTAAGCAAGTTGACACCTCATTTTGAGGTATCCTTGATAATGCTCCTGGCTTACCCTCCTGCACTCCACACTGAACTGTGGTTGATCCCCTGGCTTGATGGGGATAGTAGAATGGGGCTATGCTAGGTCATGCAGTTACAAATTATGGTTGAATACCATTCTACTGCTGTGGTGGCCTGCAGCACCTCATGAATGCCCACTCTTGAGTTGCTAGATCTGTTCAAAATCCATCCCATATCGCATGGTAATGGTGCCATTCACAACACCATGGAATTTATTGTTAATGTGAAGTCGGGACACCATCTTCACAAGGACTGTGAGGTGACCACTCTACTCATACTGTCATGGATAGACAGCACGCAGATTGGGTAGGATGAGGTCAAGTAGATTTTCCCTCTTGTTAGTTTCCTCACCACCTGCTGCAGACCCAGCTTTGCGATTTAGGACTCGGCAAGTTCCGCAGCAGTGGTGCACTCAAGCCACTGTTGTTGATGGGCATTGAAGTCATGGCATCCCCTCCCCTGCTACTCTCCCAGTGCTTCCTCCAGTTGGTGTTCAACATGGAGGACCATTGATTCAGGAAGTGAGGGGGATTGGTAATCAGCCGCAGGTTTAATACCAAACACCAAGCTGAAACTCTTGCCCCATTTGTGATACCACTCCTGTACCAAGTCTCTGTTATAACTATGTAAAAGATGGCTTTCCATGCAGCCACAAGAGGGACGGAGTCTATATAAGCAGTGCACTTAAGAGATTCCTGAATACGGAATGTCATCATGGTGGAAATAGTCCTTTCCCTTTTACTTCAAGGGAAACATAGTAGGTAACAATCTGTCACACAGTTTTGCTGATGGGTATGAAACTGTCTGTGTACTTGGTCTTGTGTACTGCATTACTAGAAACAAGGTGAATAGTTTAGTTTGTACATGGCACGGAATTGTTCAATATATTGACCCAGATTTTGCAGTTAACACAGCAAAGGAAGGGTGCTTGCCACTGCCCTCAAAACAAAACTGCCCACAAAGTTTTTAGCAGGTTCGAGAGAGCAGGCTGACATGCCTTTGGCGCCTTCTGGAGGTGATTAGTGGCATCCAGGACCGAGGCAGGCTGATCAATCAATCAGATTGAAGTATTTTACGGACACCAAAACCAGGTGTAAAAATTAGGGAATAAAAATCTCATTGAAAGAATTGTATAGAAAGGAAAACATAGATCGAAACTTATGCATTGAATTAAGAAAGTAAAATAAAAATCAGAAAACAAACTTAGTTAATACTTTTCTTCAAAAGATCTGCATTCCTAAAAGTTCTGAAAGAATTTGACTACAATTGTAAATATTGCAAGCAGTTAAGTTGATGACAGACATGTGATTTATCGTTGATTCTATCTTGAAATCCTGCTGACAGTTCACCCTGTGTCATTGCCAGCAACTTAGGGATCTCTGCATTTACCTGTTCATGTGACAATGGCAGAAGTTGCTGCAAGTTTCACACAATCGTGACAATGAGCCCTGCTATTGTCACCACTGCAAATTCCAGACTATTACCTGAGGTTGCGACATCCGGGTTGAGGATAGAAAATGAAGAGCCAGTATGGGTTTCCATATGAATCATCACTGATCATAAGACCATAAGAAGTAGGAACAGGAGTAGGCCATCCAATTCAGAAGGATCACAGCTGATCTGACATTCCTCATATCCACTTTGCTGTCCTTTCCCTGTAGCCCCTCATTCCACTAACGATCAGGAATCTTATCTGTCTCACCCTTAAATAGACACAAAGACCCTGTCCCACTGCTCTCTATGGCAAGGAGTTCTGAAGACACTCAACCCTCTCAGACAGGAAATTCTCATCTCAGTTTTAAGTCCGTACTCCTTAATTCTGAGAGTATGCCCTCTGGTCCTAGACTCACTGATATCTGCTGCATGTGGGCAGTAGGGACTCAATTAAAGTTCCAGTACAGTTCTTACCCATTTGGGCAGACAGTTAGCAATACTCTGAGGCAAAAATGGCTGAACATGGAGAGAAAAGTGAAAGGGAAAGAAATTAAGATAGCTCTCAGCCACTAAAGCTGCACAAACATAGAACCGTAGAAAATAGGAGTAGGAGTGAGCCATTTTGACCATCAATCCATTCAACATTATCACAACTTATCCCGTAATTCTATGCCATTCTCACAATCTCTCCCCATACCCCTTTGACACTTTACCCTTTAGAAATATTACCTGTATTTTCTCAGAGATATATTCAGTGATTTGACCTCCATGGCATTCTGCAGAGAATTGCACCAGCCTTGAGTGAAAAAAAATCTCCTCAGCTCAATCCAAAATGGCTTACCATGTATAATGAGACCATGATTCCTTGTTCTGGACTTTCTGGTCAGTGGAAATATAATCTGTCCATCCAGTCTGTCCAGCTCTGTCAGAAGTTTATAGGTTTCAGTGAGATCTCTTCTCATTCACTTAAACTTCAGTGAATACAGGCCTGTATCAACCCAGTCTCTCCTCAAATGACAAACCTGCCATGTATGATTTTCATTGTTCTGAGGTCTTCCTTGATCTACTGATGTTTTTCTTCCTCTAGTCTCCTGTTACATTGTGTATCCTATAGTAATCAACACCTGTGTTGGCCTTATTATGTCATCCTGCACTCACAAGCAGATTACAACAATCGATATTGTCAAATTGACTCTTGTTTTGAAACTGAGAAATGTCTTGTAATAATGAGAGATTTTAGTTTTAAAAGGGGATAAATTGGACTGAGGTGAAATGGTCCAGGACATGATGCTATCCAGGATATGATACTGTTCAAGGTTGAAGGTCAGGGTTATAGAGGGCTTCTTGCACTCTTGATGATTTCCAGTTCCATTGCATCTTAGTCCTGTTTTGCTCCTGCTTCTGTATTGTATTTTATTGTAAATATATTGTTTAAGTAATAGTAACATGCCTCAATGATATAATGGTTTAAATTTAGGTGTTCTGGAATGTTAATCCTTGAGCAACCAAATTGGCCAAGGGAGCCATCTTGTTCCAATGATGGGATAAGTTTGTGTGGAAATGGGTCAGTGCTGAGGTGTGTTCTTTAGTCTTTGACATAATTTATTTGCATTGTATATATTTTTTTATTAATTGCACAACAGTTTAAATGTTTGGACCAGCAGCTCACATGTTGTACACTAAGTTGCTAAAACTGTTTAAAAATTGAGTGCATATAATGATTATTAAAGCTGTACATGTCCTTTGAAATATGCCGACCTCATTTAATTATTTTAATTAATCTCGAACATTTCTCTGACCAGGTCAGACTCCATTACATAATGGGGCCAGTATTAGAGTTGAACTTGTTGATTTCACCACATCCTTTTTGCCAATACTTTTTTTAATATACTTATTTACTTTGTGGGGTGTGGGCATCGCTGGCTGGCCAGCATTTCTTGCCTATCCCTAGTTGCTGTTGAGAAGGTGGTGGTGAGCTGCCTTCTTGAACCCTGCAGACCACCTGCTGTGGGTTGACCCACAATGCCATTAGGGAGGGAATTCCAGGATGTTGACTCAGCGACGGTGAAGGAACGGCAATAAATTATCAAGTCAGGATGATGTGTGGCTTGGAGGAGAACTTGACGCTGGTGGTGTTCCCATGTATCTGCTGCCCTTGTCCTTCTAGATGGAAATGGTCGTGGGTTTGGAAGGTGCTGTCTGAGGATCTTTGGTGAATTTCTGCAGTGCATCTTGTAGATAGTACACACTGCTGCTACTGAGCGTCGGTGGTGGAGGGAGTGAATGCTTGTGGATGTAGTGCCAATCAAGTGGGCTGTTTTGTCCTAGATAGTGTCAAGCTTCTTGAGTGTTGTTGGGGCTGCACTCATCCAGGCAAGTGGGGAGTATTCCATCACACTCCTGACTTCCTTCCTGCCCTGTAGATGGTGGACAGGCTTTGAGGAGTCAGGAGGTGAATTACTCGCCGCAGTATTCCTAGCCTCTGACCTGCTCTTGTAGTCACTGAATTTATGTGGTGAGTCCAGTTGAGTTTCTCATCAATGATAACCCCCAGGATGTTGATAGTGGGGGATCGTGATAGTAACACCATTGAACGTCAATGGGTGGTGGTTAGATCGTCTCTTATTGGTGATGGTCGGAGTTTGGCAATTGTGTGGCCCGAATGATATTTGCCACATATCAGCCCAAGTCTGAATATTTTCCAGATCTTGTTGCATTTGGACTTGGACTGCTTTTGAGGAGTCGCAAATGGTGCTGAACATTGT